TACTTGCAGATGAAAACCATTACTGTCAGAACAGCTCAAATATGAGTTATAGTGAATAATTCATGTTGTTTCCTCCAATACTCATGTTAAACACTAAAACATCACATTAATAAGATTTGAGATTCTCAATACAGTGAACTTGTCAGCAGTCTTCTGGGTCATGTAGTCTTGCCAGTGGTTACAAATGTTTTGGAGGAATGTACCATGGTGTCACAACCCAGAAGACCAATAATGACATATTATTATTATTATCACATATGTAATGTATAATCCACATGAAATGAGGGAAAATAAACTTGGTGTATTTATAAATCCACTAATTTTGAACAGATGTTACACATAGTGAAGAGTGGGCCCAAAATGCAGGTTAGCTACTCTTCTAATACTGTAAATCAGTATCCTGTATATGACCACAATTATTTCTACAGTCATTAACCACACACAACACACTCACTGCTTTATACCCATTTCTTTAGAGCACATATCCTACAGACAAAAAACTATTCTGAAATGGTTCTATGTATGACCTAGTCATAAGATCCACTTCAGCCACATTATGTATTATTTAAAAAAATGTTTTATACAGCATTCTAATGTATGATGTATGTGGTGTGAGACAACCATGATTAAACTTTAATTGCCTGCAGTAATGGACAGCAACTCTGTTCTAAAACATCCTGACTGTAATTGTTTAATAAAATGTAATTCATTATAAATGCCTCAACTAGGTGCAGGAATAAGTGTTATTGTCATGACATGAAACAAAGATAATGGTACATAACTGTACAGCAGGTAATTCAGATAGATTTAATTCATCTGTATGCAGTTCATATCTTTGTGCTGGCCATGTCAGCCATCAACATTAGGCATAATTTAAAAACTTTGTCCTTCCGGAGTTTTGCTGATAAATATTATTCCAGCTGTCAATACAGATTTGTCCACCTCTTTAATGAATAAATGGAAGTTGTTCTGTATCAGCAAGACTACAGGCAAGAACATACAGAAAACCAAAGAATAAGTTCAGCTTTGCAGTTTGCTTAGGTACTTTCTGAATTGTATCAGAGCGGCGAAACTGCTTTTCAATGCGGAAGGCAGCAGGCAGAGTGATAAGGGGCAACAGCAACCACACAGTGTGACGGACACCGAGGACAACAAAAAGGATATATGGTGTAAAAAGAAGGAATGCATACAGGACGTGTGATGCTGTGTGGCCAATGAGGATAGCCAATGTGACGATGCCTGCATGACGATCACTCTCCATGTCACGTGTATTGTTACTATGCAGAATGGCCTCCGTGTTCAGTGCTAGAGGAATGGCATAGTAAATAGTTGCCCATTCCACATGACCAGTCTGAGACATGAAAGCAAAAAGGACTGATATTGGTCCAAAGATTATTAATATCAACACATCTCCCAATGCAATATACTTCAGTCCAATTCCACCTGTATACAGAAAAGAGCTGGACAGCCCACCAAAATACACAAGAGCTAGATGCTCCATCTTGGCTGGAGATATGCCCACTAAAAATATGAACCCCAAACAGCCAGCAGCATACAACATAGCACCAAGTGTTGCAACTTCATCCTTGGAAAGAATATGGTCCACAAGAGTACGGTCATCACTTTTCCTGCCATCTATTCCTTTTATATAGTCAAAGTAAGTATTGACTACATTTCCAGCACCATGCACAGACACCACAGTGAACAATGTAAACAGCAATATAAGCCAGCTGAAGTCACTTACATTACTACTACATTTATAAGCTATGGCAGAGCCTAAAAGAGTTGGCATGAGGGATGCACTGAGGGACCATGGTCGCAGAGCCAAGACATAGGAAGAGAGTTTCATCAACTGTGGCTTGTCATTCACCGTAGTGCTGTCTTTCTGCACATTATTTGCTTCTCCGTTTCCCATTGCAATCCAAGCAGGCACCTTTAAAAAAAGGAATCAGGTTACTTTTAAAATGAGTTCATGTACATTAAATAACTACGGAGCAGGGTCATACCTGAGAAGCTGAGTCACTCAACTGCTCTATGGACACGTAATTGTACACTACATGCTTAAAATAGCTGGTCTACTACATTACGTAATATTCAAATACGGCATAGGATGTGGTAGGATATTCATTTTAGCATTACCTTTTATCTAATCACCAAACTGCAGTGTTTTTTTTTCATTCCAGCCCACAACTCCTTCGCTAGGAGGTTAGAACAGCATGATAAAACTGATAGAATCGTACTGTAAAAGGACGACAGTTACTGTCTTTAAAAATGTAAGTTACTAATGTTAGGCTCACTGAAGTATATCTTATTACTTTCTTTCCGAACCTCAAAGTTAATAATAAACATTTTATTGACTAAAATTTTGTTTTTGCGGGAAACGATGGTGACGTGTTTCTAATGTGTAAAACAAATGAAGGTGACAGAACTATTAATCCACCAAAATTCAATTACTGTATTTCTTTGTACAATTAAAACTCTTAACAGTTAATCTTTTATCTTATCATTTTATTATTGCAACAAACGAAACTCATATGTGTATCTGCAATAAGTGTCAATGATTACCTCGTTAAAATTCTAATTAAATGTCAATGTTGGTGACACTGGTTTTGAAGTATTATCAAGTCACGTGAAATAGGCCATGTTGTGTACATGGCAACGTCCATTTCTGAGGAGACGTGTGGCAACATTGGACGTTGTTTTAGGAAATCGAGAAATCTCCATTTTGCGTTGTTGTACTTTACGGACGTTGTTCTTTATCAACGGTTGTACGGAAGGGTTGTGCAGTAAAACCGTTGTAGTACCTGATTCTGTTGCATTTTACAGTGTAATATTGGATAGTAGAGAAGGTGAATTTTTAGAGAAAGTATGTCGATGTTTGGCTCACTAATGGGTGATTTTGAAGATGATCCATTTTTTGGGTGAGTAGTCAGCGAAGTAGCCCAAGGTAGAGAAATGTTGAGTTCTGTTTATTAGAGATTTAACCCTTACGATATGTTGTAATTTTATTTATTATGATTGTAACGTGATGCTGGATATTCACTTTTTTTAATTTGTTAAGACATACGTCATAGACACGTCGATACAGAAACTACCAGAGGCGTGGAAATGTTCTCGAAGCTTTGATTCATTTGCGGATATTTAGTAAATCGGAGCAAACATGTTCACAATATGTCATGCTTTATTTGCCATGTCTAAAGCAGCAGACATGACAGATTTTTATAATTGAAGCCACATTCAGCAGTTGGTTTAATGAAATTATTTCCACTGAGTGTGTATTTACTGTAATCTCATCTAGGCTACTTTATAATTGGAATGTTTTCTTTGTCTATCATTTATTTTATAATGCTGAGAAGTGCTTTTCCAGTTTCAAGTCTACTGTTCATAGTTCATAATGCAGGAAGTTTTTTCAAAGTCACATTTATTTAACTTAATGTTTAGTTGTTTCCTTTATAGTATTCTTCCACATAATGTACAGTATATTTTTCCTCCAAAACAATTACATTTTGGCTGTTAGGGATTTGTGTAAAAGCTGTCAGCTAGTTAGTGGTATTTCTGCTTTTTCACATTGTAGCAAACTAATAGTAATAAAGAACTTACCCAAGGTAATGATGTACTTGTAGAAGGAAAATTAACTAGACAGACAACACAACGTTGCTTAAAATGCCCTAGTAATTGGTAACATTGTTTTGTTTTTCCTTCTGAACTTCTTGTTGATTTAAGTATATTGTATCTTGACATAAGCAAGCACAAAAATTAGTCACTTTGCAAAACTAATTATGTAAAAGGGAGAAAAGTGAAGCAATTAAAAGTTGTTAGATCACACTAATCATAAAGAAACACAATAATACAAGCATTTTTAAGCATATGTAAGACCTGTAAAGAAGTTTAATATTAATCCATTGTGTATGTAGGTATTTGTTAGAGATTTCCTTTATGACTTTGATGACAAGTAATTGTGGGCAGTTGATCAGGTGACAATGTCTACATCTGGAGGGTTGCTGACATCAGTTTTTGACATTTGAGTTTTGATGTTTTCATAGCAGTAAAGTTGTGATGACACCATGTAGTCATGTAGGTGGTTACGAATGTTTTGAAGGAACATGTCTTCAATCCTGAATATGGAAGGAAAATGTTTCTCTAACACTTATGTAACCATCTACAGGAATACTGTGCATCACAAACCATGAGCAACATCAGGCTTTGAAGTAGAAATATTGGTTTGGTTCAGATTCATGTTATGAAATTAGTGTAATTTATCAATTTATGAGCCATTTTAACTCATGTTTCTTGGGAATTGAACTTCATCAGCTATGTGTCATGGCTTAGATGTGGTCCAGTGGCTGTTCATCACAGTAACATATTGCTAAACTGTTAATACTTACGTCAGTATCTGGCTGGCAGTCCCGTAGCATGTAGTTAACTCCCATGATTCCATACAGCAAAGGTTAATGAATTGATTCTGGTAGAATTTGAGATTCTCATGGTGCTGAGTATGAAGATCGTTGTCTTCTTGGTTGTAGCGCCTGTGTAGACTGGTAATCACTCTAATGATGGAGGCTGGAATGTTGGTAGAATTTTACCAGACTACATGGCACTGAAGCCTGTATGGAAAGACAACCATTTCAGGTTGATTGTGATTTATAGCCAACTGTTCTTTATGTCTGTGTGCATGTCCATTTCAGCAGAAAATTATTCTGGTTTTCAGCTGACTTTCTCTTCTTAAGGAAAGAACATTGTGTATGCATGCATGCATCTCTCTCTCTCGCTCTCTCAAAAACAAAAACCCCACACGCACACCTTTAAATTTTTGGACTCTTTTGAAATTAGGTATGAACATTAATTTGTTGGACATCACCCCAACCTCGTATTTTCCATTTTCCTACAATCAGTAATAAAGGCTATAAGATATATTCGTGTTGCAGTATATAGCTATTAGTGTCAGTATTGTCACGTCCAGCGTGAAAGTATTAGTAAAATATCAGCATTATTATTAAATAATTGTTGATTTTTATTATGCATAACATGTTTTAACCTAGATGGTTATTTGCAGATGATAAGATTAAGAACTTAAAAACAAGTGCATTTAACATACAAAGTTGTGTATAGTGTATATGCTTTGTCTACTCTATGTACTGTCTATGCTTACAATCTTGTGTAGGCTACCTTGCAGAAGTACAATCAAAATCTGTAATCCTGTTCAAATCTCTGCCATATTGCGCTGTGGTGTGCAGTTTTAATCTATGGTATTCTAACCTAACCTTGATAAGTGGACAAGGGCAATGTATTAAACAAGGATATATGAAACTGATTTTGACTTGTGTGGATATGAGCATGTTGTTTAATTAATGATTACAAGTAAAGGTGATTGAGATTCATTGCTTTGGTGAAATCAAGGTCACAGGACAGGTACAGTTTGTTCTACATTTTAATGGGAACAGACCATACCACACTACCTGTTGTCATCAGTGATGGGGTTTTGTTGTCTGGTAAGGTCATTGAACTCACCTTTGCCTTTCATTTTTTCTGGGTGTTTTTTCCCCCCTCTATCCCACTTCTACATTCTAAATTTTCTAATTTCTTTCCCTTTTATTTTACTCTGTCTAGTTAAATTTTATAATGAAATAAAGATTCATGTTGGAATGTAAATAAATTATATTCTGTTCTGTGTGTATTATGACACTAGCCGCAGAATAACTCTGATGTCTTCCCTCCTCAACAAAACTTTGAATTAGTTTGAATAATTATCACATTTAAAATTTACCTTTACAGTTAATTACCTTCATAAAAGCTTGCCATTGGCCCGATTCCTGAGCTGCTTCAGTTCAATTCCTGCTTTCACACTATATTTTTTGAAGTTATGTTCCAATATCTATCCATCTACACCTGTATTTCCCACATGGTCTCAACCATTAAGTGTTGTTGCTTAGCTCAGATATTGTTGTTTTGGAGGAATGTACTGAAAATTAACATGTATGGTCATTATATTTAAAACACTGGTTTTTATATTATCAGTAATAACAGGCTTAGTTTGTTTTTATATAGCACAGCAAATAGAAGGGATTTAAGTTTGTTGAGAAGAAGTCTCTTTGCCTTCATGTTTTAAAACTGTTCATCTTCATTTTCACTTCTGGGGATAGGAAATCTGCCAAGTTTTGGTCTTCTGGGTTGTAACTGTAATGTACTGAAAATGGAGGCAGTACATTCCTTTAAAACTTTGGTACCTACCTACAAGTCCACATATTGTAGCAGCCTGAAGACCAACATTAACATCTTCACTGCCAGAAGTTGGCATTTATAAGTCTTTGTTTTATCTATAGTGTGCCACCTCTTTCTTTGGATGGCTAGTACCTCTTCTTTCTCTCTGCATATAATGGAATCCTTGTTTTGTGGCTTTATAAATACATGGTAAAATTAAAATTTAATAAAGTAAGAATGGAAGAGGAAAATTGAGGAGGCCATGGACCAGAGAGCCACAGAAGAAGAATAAGAAGAAGTGTTAGTGGAGTAATAATTTATGGTGTCATTATGCATAATCTTATCTATTTCAGATCTCAGTTACGCTCCATGCATCAGATGAATGATATGATGAACACCATGTTTTCAAACTCTTTCGGCATGTTTGGGATGGGGACACCAGCCATTGCTTCCCCTCTTGGATCCTCACGTATGATTGATAGACCACGAACAGATCTCATGAGCTTTGGCTTCCCGGGCATTAACAGAACATTTGAAAATATTGTAAGTACTGTTCATTCCTGGCATCATAAAAGCAACTGCAATTTGATGGACAGCGTTACCATGCACCCCCTCTCCCAATTAATCTGTTAAATTGGGGGTTTACCATAATGTATAGATTCTAAGATTGTGTAGAATTCTGGCAGATACTTACTTTAATGTGCATGGAATGGTGTTCTGTTACAGGACCTGATGGGGAACTCTAATTGTCACTCCTTCAGCAGTAGCACGGTGATGACCATGACAAGTGGACCAGACGGAAGACCACAGGTACATGCTTTTTGTCAGAGAAGGGTTTTAGAAATGAAGATAAAGTATATTTGCAAATTAGCTTTGGTATGATGTCAAGTCTTATTATACTCAAAAAAGTTGCCTTTTCATGTGCCAGGCCTGCATTAGTTTTGAATTTGTACATTTAAGTAGCATTTCTTTCATTTTCCAGCAGTTTTGTGATCATATACATGGTTAATGGGTGTTTTTCATCTGTCATAAACTACAATATTTAGTTTCTGTGGTGTAGGTAGTTGGTACAATGTGTCCAGTTTTTAATTTTAAATCTGAAATCTCCTGTTATGAGGAAGATAAAATTATACATTTTTATAATTTCAAGTCTCCTGTGTCGTGGATTTGACAGCATTTGATTGGGTATGAAACTGCCCACCTTCATATGAGGTGCGATCGGAAAGTTTCCAGACTGCGCCTATAAAAACCCGTACACTTATCTCAGGTATTAAATTCATCCATCACCCTCGAAGTAGTTCCCCTGGGAGTGAACACAACGATCCCAGCGCCGCTGCCAAGCCTGGAAGCATCCCTGGAAATCTTTCTTTGTCAGCCTGTCAAGCACCATCTGCGATCTAACATCTAACCATCCCATCTCTCCTCCCCGAAGCGCTTTCAAGGCGTGTAGTGAGGATAGTAGGTGAATTTCATTTCGCTACGTATCGGACAACAAATATTCCTCAGAGTACAAATTGTAATAATCGTAATTCTCGTTAATATTGAGTACGTGGAATAATTAGACTGCATTAAAGTTCACCTTCATGTAACTCACTACAAGCAAGTGTGAACAGTTTGTACGCAATAAAATTTATGAGTATAGACACCGGAAAACATTTACTGTAGATCAGATTGTTGAAATAGATCTGTCTAAAAGACTTAACAAACTTGAAGATGGCTGTCTTCTGGGTTGTTGGGCCGTGTAGTCCGGTTGTAATTCGCCGACATGGTTACCTCCATCATCAGGGCGATGAGTACCCCCGATGATGGAGGCAGAAAATACCTCTGAAAAGTAGGTAAACTTCTACCAGACTACATTACGCAACAAACTATAAGACAGCCATCTTCAGACTCACCGCCTTGAAAACCTCAAATGCCTGGAATAAGAGTACATTAAGCATTCTCTTTCCGCCTTACACCTTCATAGTGTGCTGCTTAGCACCTCAATAACTTCTAATTTAATCCTCGCTAGGTATACCAAGCTTCAGCATCAACAAGGACAGCTCCAGGGGGCGTGAAAGAAACAAAGAAGGCTGTTTGTGACTCACGTTCTGGCATGAAAAAGATAGCCATTGGTCATCACATTGGTGAAAGAGCACATGTACTGGAGCGTGAGCAAAATCTCCATTCTGGTGATCGTGAAGAACGTCAAGAGTTCATCAACCTTGATGAAGGTTAGCTATGAGTAGTAAAAATATTAGTTGTTAAATCAGTCATTATATTTTGTGTCAGTGGGAAGAGGTTTAATTAAATTTAAAGATATTTAATTTTTCAGACTTCTGATCATCTTACTTAAGTGTCCTAAGTACCATGGTTAAGTTCAAATAAAAAAATTTCCTGTGTTGGTATCACAATTTGTTTGTGATTATTTTGTGGAGTTCAACATTGTTACTGCCTTACTGAAAATGACCTGCATGATCAGTAAACAAGCATATATCAGCCTTGCGCAAATGTGCTAATATAGTACATAAAACACTTGTTAATGTATAAACAAATCTTTTTAACATAGTAAAATTAACAAGTTTGAAGTTGTAAGATTTGAGGTTTTCACAGTGGTGAGTATGAAGATTTCTGTCTTCTGAGTTGTTGCGCTGTGTAGTCTAGTCGATGTTTAACAACATTTCAGAGGTCATACTGCCTCTGTCATCAGGGCGATTCTTAGTATGAAGATTTCTGTCTTCAGGGTTGTTGCGCTATGTAGTTCTGTGGATGTCGATTCATTGCCCTGATGACGGAGGCAGTATGACCTCTGAAACGTTGGTTAATATCGAGACTGCACAGCGCAACAACCCAGAAGACAGAAATCTTCAATTTTGAAGTTCCTGATTACAAGATTTTTCTGTGGTATCACTTTTTCACACAGATGAAGCAGAAGACTTTAACAAAGAGTTTGAGCAAAAGACAAGGCAGTCTGTAGGTGCAATTGGTTATTCGTCCCCTAACTCCTCTTCAAATCGACATGGCAGACGTCACCGTGAACCCCAGCTGGCATTGCCTCCCTCCTCATCCAGGTAAGTGTAGAATTGTATAGTGATAAGATGCAACATGGTCTCCTTTACTTCAAACAGGTGGGTGATTACAATTATATAATGTTGAGGTGTCATTCCAGCATGTTAGTTTCATTTTAATTACCTGTTTTTGTATGATGCAAGATGTCTTCATTGCATGATATACATTATATATACTTTTGTAAACTGTATCCATCTTACATGAGAATGTTGAAACTTTTGTGTTATAGTGGAACCAGAGGTCACTGTATTTCCAGCCTTTTTGATATTGTTAGTTTTTGGTATTTCCCCAGCAGACTCATGGTTGTGTTTGGAGAGACAATTATCAGTAAGTCTTTTTTCCCAAGAGAGAGCAGGTTAGCTAAATATTAACTGTTTTAGCAGCTAAGCTGGGTTTGAAGGGTTGTGGTAGTTTCCACTGATTAAGAGATATTGATTCTTTATGTAAAGCATCTTAATGACTTTTTTATATATTTGCATTATGGTGGAATTCTTTGCATGATTTCTTTCAGTTGAATTGGTTTATTTTTCTAATTATTTTCCCAGTTTTTTCTAACCAGACTTTCTTACATAATCACTGGAGCAATTTGATTTTGTTTTACATAGCTCTCGTCTTAGATCACGAAGTTATTTACCATCATCATATGATCGCAGAAGTCATCGATCGTCACCAGTTCCTTTGAGGTAAGAATTGAACTGTGCCAGCCCAACTGACAGATGGTGGCATGATTTTAGCTTACCTGCATTAGTTCATGAAACATGTTGGTCACTTGAGTAGCCCTTTTAAAGTAAAGCTTGGCCTTCAGGCATGCTTTAGACCTGTTTTAAATGGCTAATAGTAACATTTTTTTGTTGTCATAAATTTAACAACTGTCACGTACTAAAGCAGAGTATAAGTCCGAACTACAGTGAAACCTCGATGCATCGTTTTTGGCGGGGGTGGGAAATAAAAACGATGAATGCGGGAAAACGATAGATGCGGGAAAGCATTAAAATTTTAAAAAAAC